AGAGGAGGAGAGGCATGCGGGGGGCGAGAGGGCCAGGGGATGGGGGGCCAGAGCCAAGAGGACGACGACGACGAACCACGAACCACGAAAATACAGGGTCCAGGGCGAGGAGGGCTGGGACCAAGGCCAGGGTCGGGGCGAGTGGGGCCAAGGCCATGGGACAGGCTGAGATCAGCCAGGGCCAGAGGACTGGGGCTCGGACCAGGGGCCAGAGGCCTGGGTTTGGGGGAGGGGGCGAGGGGAAGCGGGCCACAGCCAGGGGGACGGGGGCGAGGGGGCGAGGGGGCCACAGCCAGGGGGACAACGACGAACCACGAACCACGAAAATAAAAGGGCCGGGGCGAGGGAAACTGGGGCCAGGGCCAGGGGACGCCAGAGCCAAGGAGGGAGGTTGGGTTCAGGGCCAGGGCAGGAGGACGGGGGTGACGGGGCCAGGGGAAGCGGGTCAGAGCCAGGGGGACGACGACGAACCACGAAAATAAAGGGTCTGGGGCGAGGGGGGCCGGGGCCAGGGCCAGGGGACGCCAGGTTCAGGGCCAGGGCAGGAGGACGGGGGCGACGGGGCCAGGGGAAGCGGGCCAGAGCCAGGGGGACGACGACGAACCACGAAAATATAAAGGGTCCGGGGCGAGAGGGGTTGGGGCCAGGGCCAGGGGACGCCAGAGCCAAGGGCCAGGGCAGGAGGGGGGACGACGACGAACCACGAAAATAACGAGGTCCGAGCTCTAGAGCACAACTGTGCCAGAGAATAAAGAGCTCCGAGCTTTAGAACACAGCTGTGCAAGAGAATATATTCAGCCGATGACTGGGCACCTTTCCATTCGAGTCGGACCAGGACCTTTTTCGCAGCACATTTGACGGCGCCCCTCACCTCCTCCACCCGCTGAATGGGATCCTCGGAACTCTCAGCGCCGCCGCCGATAGTTCCCTTGAAAACCTCAGTAATTGACTTGTGCTTGGTGACCCAAAAGGGAATGCTATGTGTCCCAGACTTCTCAGGAGGTGCCAGAGAAGCGAAGACAGCATCATGTTCGAGACCAGCCTCGCTGGTCTTGAACATGATGCTGTCTGCAGTCTGGAAGCTATGCGCCTTCAGTGTGATCGACGTGCCAGCAGGTACATGCCTAGTGATGAAAGCCTTCGAATGGGCGGTGAGGACACGGCTCGACAGTGGCATTGGGAACCTAGCAACCCAAATACGCTTGCACTCACTCTCGCGTCCACGTTCGTTATCATGTCCACGATTGCCAGAGGCCACCGAGGGAGTCCCCGTCGACGAGCGTGCACGAAGCCGTTGTACCTCCTGCTGTGTACGTTCTGCCTGCTCACGAACAGCTGCGATCTGACTGTCCAAACGGCTGTCGAACTCCGCTGAGAGGAGGAGGAGGAAGAGGAGGAAGAGGAGGAAGAGGAGGAGGAGGAAGAGGAGGAGGAGGACGAGGAGCAGGAGGAGGAGGAGAAGGAGGAGGAGGAGGAGAAGGAGGACGAGGAGGAGGGGGAGGAGAAGGAACAGGAGGTGGAGGGGGAGGAAAAGGAGGAGGAAAGGGAGGGGAAGAGCTATGCAGGACTATGCAGGACAGGCCACTACAGATTCTCTGAATGCACGGAGCCCTTTTGATGGCCTGCGGGGTGGCGGCTTAGCCTCTGCCACCCCTGCCCGAAGGGAAACACCCCACGGAAACAACACCAGCCAGAACACGAGGAGGGCCCCGCGCCGCGGGGACCCCCCAGCGGACCCCAGCGGACCCCACCAGCCCCCCCCCTAATAGGGCAGGCCCGGGCCGCGCGACCTCGGGGCGGCGCGGCCCGCCCTGGATGCGCCGCGCGGCGCACCGCCCTCGGGGGCCAGTGGCCCCGCGCGAGAGCAGACGGGCCCCCGTTCCCCTGCGCCCCCTCGCACTCCCCGAGCTGGCGAGGGAAGGCTTCGCGCCACGGAGGCAGCGCGTGGGGCTCGCCACGCCGCGCCCCCGGCACAGGCGGCGGGTGCCGCCGCGGAGGCCGCCGCCCGTGGCGGGCGCACCGCGTGCGCCTGCGAGGGCGGCGCTCGCGGCGTCGCAAGCCCGAGGGAGCCTGCGCGGGCCCGCCCCCCGAGGGACTCCCAGGGGGCCCTGGGGGCCCCAACCCCCCCGCCACCCTCTGCCAGTTCTGAAGATGGTCGCCGGCTAGAGCTGCACCCCATCGATACAAGTGGCGCCGACCTCCCGCCAGCTCCACTGGCGGGGGGTCCCTGGCTATCGCGACGTGCTCACCGGGCCCCCCGCTTGTGCGGGGGGGGAGAAGGGAGGGGAAGAGGAGGGGGAAGAAGAGGGGAAGAGGGCGAGGAGAGAGAGGAGGAGAAGGAGGGGACGAGCCCCCTCACCATCAGCCAATAATCCTCTGCATCGCCCCCCTCATCACCATGACTCCTCCTCCTCCTCCCTCCTCCTCCTCCTCCTCCTCCTCCTCCTCCTCCTCCTCCCTCCTCCTCCTCCCTCCTCCTCCCTCCTCTCCCTCCTCCTCCTCTTCCTCCTCCCTCCTCCTCCTCCTCCTCCTCCTCCTCCTCCTCCTCCTCCTCCTCCTCCTCTTCCTGTTCCTCCTCCTCCTCGTCCCCGATCCTCCGATATCGCGATTTTGGGGTCCCTTGAGCTCCGTCCCCGGGGCAACTTTTACATCAGGGGTGATATTTGATCGTCCTGGGGACCGCGCCAGAGGACTTGGTCCTCCTCGTCCCTCCTCGAGCCCGCAGGCGGGACCGAGAAGCCTCGCCCGCCCGGTGACCCCCGGAGGCCGCCGAAGGGCCCCCTCCTCCTCCTCCTCCTCCTCCTACTACTCCTCCTCCTTGTCTTTCTTCTCCTCCTCCTCCTCCTCCTCCTCCTCCTCCTCCTCCTCCCCCTCCTCCTCCTAAGCCTATCCTTGCGCATCCCCTCCCCGTCCCCCTTCCCCCTCCTCATTCCCCGCCCCCTTCCCCTCCTCATATTCCTTCTCCTCCTTCTCCTCCTCCTCCTCCTCCTCCTCCTCCTCCTCCTCCTCCTCCCCCCCCTCCTCCCCCTCCTCCTCCCCCTCCATTCTTTTTCCTTGTGAATAACTCCTCCCTGTCGCACACAGAGGCCAGTCGGAAGGGCGGGCCGAGCGTTTCGCCTGAGACTCCCTTACCACTTAAGAGCATGAAGTTTAGAAACTGGCAACAGTTTTTCATATGGAGGGCGGGTCGCCTCAGCGACGTGCACATTCGCCTGAAAAATTGCAAGAACTTCACGGATTGAAGGCGGGTCGTTTTCAAAAGGTGGATCTCGCCTCAGCGTCGCGCACACTCGTATTAAACATTTTGAAGGGTTTCACGGATTGAGGGCGGGTCGTTTTCAAAAAATGTGGTCTTTGCTTTAGCGCCGCGCACATTCGTTTAAACAAAACTGCACGAGCTTCACGGATTGAGGGCGGGTAATATTCAAAACGTGGCTCTCGAATCTACGCCGCGCACATTCGTTTGAGGACAGTTCCCTTTCAAAGTATGGTTTTCGCCCTAGCGCCGCGCACACTCGCCGAAAAAAGCTGGAAGCGTTTCGCGGAGTCTCATGGCTAACCTTCCAGGAACGGTGTTTTCGAACGATTCAGGAGCGTCGACGCGCAACAGTTACGTTGATTCGCAGTGAAGTCCCAGGAAGGGTGTTCTGGCGCGCTTCAGGATCGTCAAGACGCACCAGTCTGGTTGACTCGTGGCGTTGAAGTCCTGAGAATGGCGCTTTACACACTTCAAGATTTTCACACGCTTGTCTCCCGCCGGGCTCATCCCTCAGTGGAAGTGACTTCTTGTATGAAGCGAAAACAAGAAAACTCGAAGGGAGGGTGTATCCCTACATCGTTGATGAGTCTTGGGTTTACACTGGTCCTCCTCCTCCTCCTCCTCCTCTTCCTCCGCCTCCTCCTCATCCTCCTACAACCCCTCCTCCTCATCCTGATCCGCCTCCCCCTCCACGTCCGCGGCATCTCAGCGGTAGGACTGAACGAACCCCTCGCGTCGCAAGTTGACCGCGCGATATCCCCCCGATCAGTCCTCCTTTGTTTCTCCGCACTCCTCCTTCCATCCCACCGTTACCCCTATCCTCCTCCTCCTCCTCCTCCTCCTCCTCCTCCTCCTCCTCCTCCTCCCCCCTCCGCCTCCTCCTCCTCCACCCTCCTCCTCATCATCATCATCATCATCATCATCAGCATCATCATCATCATCATCATCATCATCATCATCATCATCATCATCATCATCATCATCATCATCATCATCATCATCATCATCATCATCAGCATCAGCATCAGCATCAGCATCATCATCATCATCATCATCATCATCATCCTCATCATCATCATCATCATCATCATCATCATCATCATCATCATCATCATCATCATCATCATCATCATCATCATCATCATCATCATCATCATCATCATCATCATCATCATCATCATCATCATCATCATCATCATCAGCATCACCTCATCATCATCATCATCAGCATCATCATCATCATCATCATCGCATCATCATCATCATCATCATCAGCATCATCAGCAGCATCATCATCATCGTCAGCATCATCATCACCATCACCATCACCATCACCATCACCATCCTCCTCTTCATCCCACCTCATCCGCCTCATCCTCCTCCTCCTCCTCCTCCTCCTCCTCCTCCTCCTCCTCCTCCTCCTCCTCCACTCTTCCTCCTCCCCTCCTCCTCCTCCTCCTCCCCTCCTCCTCGTCCTCCTCCTCCTCCTCCTCCTTCCTCCTCCTCCTCCTCCTCCTCTCCTCCTCCTCCTCCTCCTCCTCGTCCCCGAAGGCCCCCGGAGGCACACGGAAGCCATCCCCCGGAGGCCCCGAGGGCCGTTGCTGAGGGCCCCCCGAGGGCCATCCGCCCCACCCCGCCCCCCTCGCAGAGGCCGAAGGGGCCCCGACCCCGGCGGCTGGCGCTCGCGCGCCCGACGGCGGCGGCGGCCGCCACGCAGCGCGGGCGCCGCCGCGGCGAGCTCCTTCGGCGCGCGGGCGCCGGCCGGCTTCGGCTGCGGCGCGGCGGCGGGGCTCTTCCTGGCGGGACGGACCACCTGGGCGGGGCGCGCGCGCGCGCTCGCGCGCGCAGAGGAGGATCCGATCCACGACAGGGAGCCTGCCCCCCAGGGCGGGCCGCCGTGTGCGGGGCCTGGGGCGCCGCGCCGAGGAGCGACGTGAGCTCGGGCTGCCTCCTGCAGACTTGCTGGAACCTCGCCCCTGCTAGCGCGACGGGAGAGGCGGGACGGTGACGGAGGAGGATCCGACTGGCAGGTTGGACATTGGCGGCAACCGCAGCAGACAGGCTCGCTTTCCGGATCGCGGCCAGGGTCGCTCTCCAGAAACGCAGCAGCCGCCGTGTCGCGCGGCAGCCGCCGACAGCAAACAGACCGCAGCGGGATCAAAAGCACGCCAGCCGTTTGAACAAGACCTGTCCCCCCATCTGGCAAATTCCAAACCCCTGGGTGGAAGGAGGAGGAGGAGGAGGAGGAGGAGGAGGAGGGGAAGAAGAGGAGGAGGACGACAATGACAATGACAATGACGACGACGACGACGACGACGACGACGACGACGACGACGACGACGACGACGACGACGACGACAAAGACGACAAAGACGACGACGACGACCACCACGACGACGACGACGACGACGACGACGACGACGACGACGACGACGAGGAAGAGGAGCAGGAGGAGGAGGAGGAGGACGACGACGACGACGACGAAGCCGTTCATACAGGGGCGGGGGATCCCGAAGCGGGCGATGTCCAGGCGCGGCGCCCGCCGCGCCATGGCCAACGAGGTACCCGCGAGCAAGCGCGACACCGACAGACGCGGCAGCTCTCTGAACGCCAACGCCGCCACCGCGATCGAGAGCCAGAAGCTGAACAACGGCTACGAGATTACCAGCAGCCAATGGAGCGGCCCGAAACCGATGCGCAAACCTCGCGGAGGACAGCGCCCCGCTGGGCACGCGGCGACGCGCCGTCTCGCGTGCGCTGTGCGCGAGGGGCTTGCTCTTTCACCCAAGGACATTGCGATTTCCATCGCGAACGCCCACGCCGACGATTGGCATGAGTGGCGTGAATGGCATCAGTGGTACTGTCATGAATGGCAGCCTCGGTGCCGCACCTTCGCCGACGCCAGCACCAACACCAGTACCGACGCCAGCACCAACACCGAGCCCTGCAATGAGTAGTGCGACCCGTACCCGGAGGTCACGTTCGAGTTCAAGCAAGAGGCTGAAAAATTCGTCCCCCACTCTTGATCATCGCCGACCCTGCCGCCAGGCTGCTGGGCCACGTTCTCGCCAGGGGTCGCCTATTCCACGGCCGACTGCCTCGGACAGCGGAGGAGGCCGCGCGCGCCGACGCGGTGCGCTGCCACAGCATCGAGCCCTACGTCCAGCCCGACCCCAGGAACATCATGGTACACAACCTGGACCCCATCATCGATTCCGAAGCCCTCTGTGCGATATTCTGCATGTTCAACAAAAAATGGTTTGCGTGTTCGAGATCGACTCCGCTGGGAGGCACAAAGGGTACCGTTCCGAGTGCTCTGTTACCGCGAACGCCGCCAAAAAGGTCGTTGAGCACATGAACGACTTCAAGATCAGCTCGACAGCGCCGTCGCGCGCAACCAGGCCAAGGAGGAAGGGGGGAGGAGGACCTGGAGGCGACGAACGTGTCGGAGAGGAGGCCCTGGACGTGGCGGACGAGGTGGAGAGAGCCCTGGACCTGGCGGTGGGGGATGCCGGTGCAGGCGAAGGAGTAGAAGGCCCAGGAAGGCGCCGAGGACTCTGGAGATTAGAAGTTCGGCATCGGCGCCTCGGACCGCTGCGCGGGCACCCCCTGCATGGGCATGGGAATAGGAGTCGCCGGCCTCGGCATCGGCACGGGCTTCCCCAGCCTCGGGGGCGTTTCAGGCATAGCTCCAGAAAGCCCAAGGGGCTTTCTGCAGGGGCGTCCACGGGGCCTCCGGGGCCACGGATCCAGGGGTTCGGTTCGGCAGCCGGAGAATCCACGGGGTCGGGCTTGGGGGGGAGCCTAGCCCCCGAACCTCCCGGAAAAAGGCCCAACCACGTGCACCTGCGGGCATCGCGAGGCAAGTGAAAGGGAGGAGGGGGTCTGGCAAGCGGATTGGGGCGTGGGCGGGGAGAACAGCTGAGAGGGGCGAGCGGAGGATCTCCTCGGTTAGGCGACGGCCTCGCCAAGGACCTGGGTGTCACTGGGTTTATCCGCGAGGCCTGACCTGAGGAACGCCTCGCCCTCACTCGACTGCCCAACTGTACGGCCTCGCGCCGCGGGCGACCCGCGCGCGTCGCTGGAATGCTCTCGGGGCGGCCAGCGCACGTCGCGGGGACGCCCCTGCGCTCCGCCTCCCAGTGCTCGCCCCTTTGTCAACCACCCGAGTTTGTCCTGCCCCTGCGCCGCGGGCGGCCCGCGCGCGTCGCTCGAACTTCTTCGGGGTGCAGGGCGCACTTTGCAGGACGTTCGCGGGGCGAGCCGAGTCGAATGCATGTACACCATGCGGACACTGCCGCGAGGGCTCTCGGGAGCCACGAAGCGCGTGCGGGGTGTGCTAGGTCGGGTGCAAGTACGCCATGCGGACCCTGCCAATGGGGCCTTCGGTAGAGCGTCCTATGGGGCCACGAAACGTGTGAGGTGTGTGCCGAATTGGGCGCGGGCACGCCAGGCGGACCCTGCCGCTGGGGCCTTCGGTGGAGCTCCCTATTGGAGCCACGAAATGTCTGAGGGGTGTGCCGAATCGGGCGCGGGTCCGCCAGGCGGACGCTGCTGCTGGGGCCTTCCGTGGACATCCCGAGGGGGTCACAGAACGTGCGGAAGGGTGTGCCGAATCAGGCGCGGGTACGCCAGGCGGACCCTGCCGCTGGGGCCTTCGGTGGAACTCGCTTCGGGGCCACGAAGCGCGTGAGGAGTGTGCGAATCGAGGGCGGGCACGCCATGCGGACCTTGCCGCTGGGGCCTTCGGTGGAACCCGATACGGGGCCACGGAGCGTGCGAGGGATGTGCCGAATCGGGCGCGGGTACGCCATGCATGCCCTGCCGCTGGGGCCTTCGGTGGAACTCGTTACGTGGCCACGAAACGTGGTGACGAGTGCTGGTACACGATGCGGACCCTGCTGCTGAGGCCTTTGGCTGAGCTCGATATGGGCACACGGGCGTGTGAGGGGTGTGGTGAAACAGGGACATGCGGAGGGCGGTGATGAGAGGAGGGAAGGGGAGCGAGGAAGAATGTGACGCGGGGAGCTGTTTTTTTCCCAAGACGAGGACCCAGCACCACAGTATGGCTGGGAAATGTAACAAAAAGAACGCTGATTCCCCAATCAGAGCTTCCCTCTGTAGGGGTCCTAGCGGATTCATTTGGTTAGGTTAACTGTGGCGCCGATTTCGGCGGTACGCCCGGGTGCCCGGATGCCCCGGTGCAGGGGTGCCTGGGTGCCCGGGTGCCCAGTAGCCCTATAGCCCTATAGCCTGATAGACTTATAGCCCTATAGCCCTATATCCCAATAGCCCTATAGCCCTATAGCCGTATAGCCCTATAGTCATATCGCCACAATTGCCCTAATAGCCCCATAGCCCTATAGCAACATAGCACTATAGCGCTTATAGCCTTATAGCCTGATTGACTTATTGCCCTATAGCCCTATAGCCCTATAGCCCTATGGCCCATAACCCTAAAGCCCTAAAGCCCTAAAGCCCTATAGCCCTATAGCCCTACAGCCCTATAGCCATATAGCCATATAGCCCTATAGCCCATAGCCATATAGCCCTAAAAAGATCATGATTGGGGCTTTTTCTGCGTCATCATTCATGTATGTGATGTTACAGAGTTACATGTCTCATATATGGCTATACGTATGTAAAGCTACGTGTGTGTATGTGTGGGTGCGTGAGTGTGTGGTTGTGTGTGCGCGTGTGCGTGTGTGCGCGTGTGTGTGTGTGTTGTGTGGTTTGTGTGTGTATGTTTGTGTGTGCGTTTTGGTGTATGTTTGTGTGTGTGCTAATGTGTGTTGTGTGTTGTGTGTTGTGTGTTGTGCGGTGTGTGTTGTGCGTGCTGTGTATTATGTGTTATGTGTGTTGTGTGTGTTGTGTGTGGTGTGTGTGTGGGTGTGTGTGTGTTTGTGTGGGTGTGGGTGTGGGTGTGGGTGTAGGTGTGGGTGCGGGTGTGGGTGTGGGTGCGGGTGTAGGTGTGGGTGTGGGTGTGGGTGTGGGTGTGGGTGTGGGTGTGGGTGTGGGTTAGTGGGTGCGTGGGTGTGTGTGTGTGTGTGCGTGGGTGTGTGTATGTGTGGGGTGGGTGCGTGCGTGCGTGGGTGTGTGTGTGTGTGCATGTGCGTGTGCGTGCATGCGCACGTGGGTATAGTTGTGTACTCAAATACACACGCACACATGTAAGTATACACTCGTTGCCAGTCTCCTCATCATCGTTTTCCCCTCCTCCCGATCATCCTCCTCCTCCTCCTCATCCTCCTCCTCGTCATTATCATCATCATGAGCAGCAGCAGCATCACGAAAATTGTCATCAGCATCATCAGCATCATCATGATCACGACAATCATCAGCATCATCAGCATCATCAGCATCATTACTATCAGTATCATGCTCAGCATCAGCATCCCCATTATCATCGTCATCAGCATCGTCATCGTCATCGTCCTCGTAATCATCATCATCATCATCTTCTTCATCACCAACATAATCCGCAACATCATATTCATCATCGTCGTCGTCATCATCGTGCTCCTGGTCATCGCTCTCCTCCTCATCATCATCATCCTCCTTCCTCCGGCCGAGACTTGCTCAAAACTAATCCCCAGACTCTCTTCAGGCCCCCCCCCCCTTCCTTCACCCTATTCCACCTGCTCGGCACCCGCCGTCGCGGGCCGCCCCGCGGCCGCCCTGGAGGCAGTAGCGCGCGGGCCGATCTTATTGCTGCTCGTGACCTTCGCGGAATGCATCGGT